GCTGGTGGTTTCAAATTGCTGACCTTGAACTTAGCAGTCCGACATGTAATCACTACACCCCAGGGCTTCTAAATAGTGGCACACTCAGCGCATCTTCTAAAAGAAATCGCTCAATGGTACACTGGAAAGGGGTGAATTCTAAGATATGTAAAATATATCTCAATAAAGTTGTGGGGGGAAAAGTCCCATATAAAAAGTAGAGAAGAAAACAGTGCAGTACTTACCACGTTCGTTCATAGCCTCCTTCCCATCGCTTTGTTCTTTCCGGTTCTTCATCCATTTTTTTTCTGAAGATGTATCCTCTAATTCAATAACCAATAAAATCCTCTATATTGTGAATATTCTAAAGATGTTTGTCACCAAATGCATTCAATTAGCTGGTCTTCACATTTCTTGGCATAGATGAGTGAGCGCTTCCAGCATTTCACCCATTTATTTATTAAAGCAGCTAAATTAGTAATCTGTCAATTCCTGGACCTTTGTTTTTAACCAGCGTCTTCAGTCTAGTTTAGACTTCTTACTCCAATACTATCAGTTCTTCACCATAAACTACCTCCTGAAGTGGCTGAAGTTGCCAAGGATTTAATATTACTTGAATCCACAATCAACACCCATGGTAGTACTCAAACGCACACTGACTGCCTATAACTAAATTCCAACTCACTGAAACCTTAAAGGGCATGGTGAAACTGCTCTCGTGGGTTTCTAAGACTCTCATTACAAGAGTAGAAAAGTCTCATCTTTACTGCTGACTTTGCAGTTAACAGCCCAATTCATAACCCACTAAGCCACCAGGATTCCTCACCCATGGAAGTAGCAACAAGAAATCAAATGAAACACTATATTAAGCAAATCTGCTGCAAAAGATGTTAAAAAAAATCAAAAAAGTAAAGGTGTTGCTTTAAGGACTAAGGTGTCTGGCTCAAGTCACGGTATTTTCAATCCCTTCATATGCATGCAAAAGCTGAACAATGAATAAGGAAGAACAAAGAAAAAGTGATGCATTTGAATTACGATGTTGGCATAGTATACTGCATATGATGACCAGAAGAACAAACAAGTATGTCTTGGAAGAAGTACAGTCAGGATGCTCTGTAGAAGCAAGATTGGTGAGAGCTGGTCTCAAGTACTTTGGACACATTAATAGGAAAATCCAGTCTTTAGAGAAGATCATGCTGGGTAGAGGGTCATTAAAAAGGGGGAAGACCCTCAACAAGGTGAAGGGACACAAGCAACAATTGTGAGGAGGGCGTAGGATCAGATGATGCTTCATTCTGCTTTATTTGTGATCACCAGGAGTCTGAACTGACTCAATGGCACCAAAGAAAACAGTGTGACTGCCAAAAGGACTTAAGACTCAATTCTTTTTTTTCCCCCCCATGTCTGGAAAAATTTTTTTTAATAGTTTTATTAGGGGCTCATACGACTCTTATCGCAATCCATACATACATCAATTGTGTAAAGCACATTTGTACATTCATTGCCCTCGTCATTCTCAAAACATTTCCTCTCCACTTAAGCCCCCGCATCAGGTCCTCATTTTCCCCCCTCTC